TGCCCTGCTGTGGCTTGCCCAGCTTCTCCAGAAGCCACCATCCCTTCAGGAGGCTGCTCCCAGCAAGATTGGACATCGGTGGGAGAGCCTCAAGCCTTGCAAGGATGGCACAGCAGAGAAGACCCGCCGTCCATGCAAGGAGCTCAGGCTGTCAGAGAACGTCCATGGTGCCAGGAGCCTCCACTATCTCTGACAGCCTCCATCCCTCAGAGAGGCTCAGCCAGACCTGTCAGCCTGCAGAAGGTGCAGAGCCCAGGGACAGGTCTCCCAGCTCCGTTGGACCCTTGGACTTCAACAACATGGACACATCCCTGAGCACTGACATGGCCAGGGAAAGCCCACAGGTCCAAGTGGGAGCCCAGCCTGATCCAGGGGAGCCGTCTCAGGAGCAGGTGGAGGAGCAGCAAGTGTCCTGGAGCCAGCAGCTGCCGGACCACAGCTCCCAGGTGACGGTGCTGGACGTGCCAGCTGGCAACAGCCCGTGCCTTGTGGAGGAAAAGATTCCCGGGGGACCAGGGAGTTTCCTCTTTCTCCAGGAAGCTGCTCCCATACAGCCACCAAATACCAACAAGGCTTCCGTACCAGCAGGTGAGACCTGAGGAGCTGACTGAGGCTGCCATGGGGCTCTGGAGGGGCATTCGTAGGCCAGGCCAGGGCTTCTGAGAGCAGCCTAGAAGCAGGTCAGAGCAAGGTGGCCGGCGCTGGCTGTGGCCGCTGCACATGCGGACACTCGGGGGGTTCCTGGCAGCATCAGGCCCTGTGATGGAGGCATTGTCTTCTCCTCACAGCCCGACGGCACCTGTGTTCCACTGGAGATCGTGCTAATGGAGAAGGTGGGCTTTGGCTGCCGCAGAATCATCCAGTTCCTCGACTGGCTCCAGCTGCCTGACAGCTTCGTGCTGGTGATGGAGTGTCCAGAGCAATCTCGGGATCTCTTGCATGTCCTGCAGGAGCAAGAGTTCCTGAGCGAGGAGGCGGCACGCTGGCTTTTCTGGCAGGTGCTGGAGGCCGTGTGGCACTGCACCGCCTGCAGTGTCCTGCACCGGGACATCAAGCCAGAGAACCTCCTCATCAACCCGGAGACTGGTGAGATGAAGCTGATGGACTTTGGTTGTGGCACCTTCCTCCAGGAGCGGGCCTGCACACAGTTTGCCGGTGAGCCCAGAGCGCGGGCCCTGCTCCCAGTGCCAGGCACTGCACAGCCCCATTCCCTCCTGGGCCGCGGGGTGCAGCGTTCAGCCGGCTGTTGGAGATGGTGTGCGGGTTCCTGCCCTTCGAGAACGAGCGTGACACCGTGTTGGGGCAGCTCTTCTTCCCGCAGGAGGTCTCTCCAGGTTGGTACGCGGCCTGAAGCAGGCAGGCTTTGGCAGGTGGCACCGCGCAGCCCAGCCCGGCCCTCCCGCAGCTGCGCGGGACGTCCATGTGCCCTCAAGGGCCGGCTGCAGCAGGTGGCCCGTGGCAGGCTGGGTGTGGCACGCTTGGCTGAAGGAGGGGACGCTTGTCCTGCCGTGCCGCTCTCCCGCCAAGGGCAGCTCCCAGCACACGCAGCGTGGCCCGGCTTCTGCAGGCGCCGGGAGCAGCTGGGCAGGAGCCTTCTGCAAGTGAGCGCCGCTTTCTGCCTTCTCTCCCCAGAGTGCCAACATCTGATCCGCTGGTGTTTGTCCAAGCACCCCATGGACCAGCCAGTGCTGGAGTAGATCTTCTACCACCCTTGGGTGCTGGGCGGGCATTTCTGATGCCTTGGCACAGCCTCTGCAGCACCCAGTTCCCGTGTCCCACGCAGGACTGAGGGCCCAGGAAATAAAAGAACTCGAAACCCACTGCGGGCTGGCGAGTCTGGTCCTTGTTAGCAACTTCAGCTAAGGGAACCTCTGGGCAAAAGGGGTAATCAGAGTGTTCTCTTCAGCCTTTGTCAAGATTTTGGTGCCTTTCCTCCAGGTTGTCCCTCAAAATCAGAGGGGGGTGGAGCCTGCACCAGTCCCCCCAAATTGCTTGGAGACAGAGACTTCTCCCAGGTCCCTCAAAACTGGAGGAGGATGGAGACAATCCCCGGGCCCCCCAAAGTGAAGGGAGATAAATACCTGGCAACCTAAAATAAGTGATGGATATAGCCCAGAGCATCCCCCAAGTCAGAGGGGGAAGGGGAGACTGCCAGCCTCCCCAAAGAGGAGGGGAATTGTGCTTGTGCCAGCCCCACAAATTGCAAGGGGACAGAGAACATCCCTGGCCTGGCAGATGGCAAAGAGCAGCCGGGGGATGCTGGGATGGTGACAACACTGGCACCCCCCAAATCAGAGAGGGACAAAGAGCCCGCACAGGCTTCCCAGAAGCAGAAAGGGGGCAGCAAATATCCCCTGTCCCCCTAAGTTGGAGGGGCACAGACACAAAAGGCCCCACAAAAAGAGCATGAGGAACCAAGAGCACTGCTGGCCCCACAAGGGTAAGGAGGATGGAGAAACTCCCCATCTGTCTTTGTTTTGGAAGACAGGTGTCAGCTAGGGAGGGCAGGGGCCTCCCCTGGAATGAAAATGTAGACCCCCCTCCCTCTGAATTATTATAATTCTGAAATCAAGGGGCTTTCAAGCAGAGATCTGAGGATAGGAATAACAGCTCTTTATTAGAATTTATAACCAGGCAAACAAACAACAATAACTACAGCATTAGCAAGAAAACAGAACCAGGGGCCCCGTGACAGCTTTCTCGGCTGAGACGGGATGGAGGAGAGGCTTTGTTTCACAAACCCCCTCGGGCGGGCAGTCCCGGTGCTCCTGCAGGGCTCTGAGGAACACTCAGCTGGAACAGCAGGGATGAGCTGAGATCCTGGGCCGGTGGCTGAGGTGGATCAGCAGCTCCACGGCGGTGCCTGGCACTGCCACACGTCCCGGCAGGACAGGGGGTGCGAGGCCACCAACAAAGAGGGGAGGAGGAGAAGCAGCAGCAGCTCCCAGCTCACCCAGCATCTGGGTGATGGTGAAATTCCCTTCTCCCCACCACAACAACTCTGCGCCCGAAGTGTCCTTCTCCAAAACTGAAGAAAGCCCACCAAACTGTCGCCACCCTCCTTTTTTTCCTGCCCCCTTCCCTCCTTGGTCCCGGCCAAACTCTTTGTCTTTTTTCAAGCACCCACCAAGTACCCACAGTTAGGTTTTACCCCAAACTAATGGGTAAAAATCCTATGGGCAAGCCAGAAATAAAAAAGAAAGACACCTAACCCCCAACAGTCCCTGAGACTGGGGCTTGGCCTTCCTCGTGGTGAGGGGCATGAAGGAAGGCTGCACTGTGATGGAGACTGTGATGGGCTGGGAACTCACTGGGGGAAAGGATGGAGCAGTTGTGAAGTAAAAGGCAGGTGGGGGAGAGAAGTGTTCAGAGAAGGGCTGAGCTACAGCTTGAGCAAGCTGAAAAATGTCATTTGGGGTCATCCCAGATTGATTTCATTTCAGAAGTCATGGAACAAGTTTAATTTTTGGGGGGTGTCATGTTTTCCCTTGGAGGTGGACACTCTGCAGACTTGAGCTGCATTGCCAAAATGCTCAAGTCTCTGCTGCAGGTCACAGCGTTTCTTCTTTGGCTGATCCTGGCCCGGTGCTGAGCCCAGCAGAGCCCTGGCAGAGCCCAGAGCAGCCTCAGCATCCGCAGAGCCCGGCTGCGAGGAGAGAAAGCAGAAACCGCCCGTCAGCTGAAGGCTCCTGTCCCCTTGTCCCAGCCAGCCGCGGTGCCCAGGCCATGCTGGCCGTGCTCAGAGCTGGGCCCAAAGCTGCCCATCACTGCTGCCTTGGGGAGCAGAGCAGGAGGGCAGGACATGTGCCCAGCCTGCAGCCAGCCACGGCAGATCCAGCCCCTCAGCAGCTGCCCAGAGCGGGATGCTCCTGTGCCCGCTGCCATCTCCCAAAAGCTCTTGTCCCAGCCATGCCAAGGAGATGAGGACCCACCTCACACCATCCGCTGCCACAAGAAAAGCTGGTCCCAAACGATGTCCTCAGTCTTCTCCAAGGGCACGGCCCATCCACGCCACAGCTGGTCCCAAGCACTTCCTGATCCAGACTGGACCCCACCTAGAATGCTTCCTTTAGAAAAACAAACAACAAATTAATGAAAATAGGTCACAGACAAAAAGGGGAAACAAGAAAAATGGTAAAAAATCTTATGTCTGTCAGGAGCTTGAGGAAGGCCCAACCCCTACATTCTGGGGAAAAACCCACCCATGGGTGAGAGAAGCCCATGCTTTCTCCCTTTCCCCCTGCACTGTCCCCCAAAATCACGGTGATCCCAAAGCAAAGCAGGGGAGTGGAGCAGCCCAAGCCCTTCCTTGCCTGCACAGCAAAGCAGCCGTGCTCAGGTTCTGGAGTCCCACCTGTGCTCCTGCCATGGGGGTTTGTTTGTGTCGGGCTGGCTGCCCCAGCCCCAGCCCGGGGCACGGTGGGTGCTGGGGGCTGTTGGCAGGGCCAGGATCCCACTCCCATTTCGTAACCACCCCAGCCCACGTCCCCAGCCCTGCCAAAAACCAGCTGGGCAGCCACTGAGGAATCAGTTGCATCTGCCCCAGCAAAGGGGAAACCTTTGGTTCCCGGCCAATGCACAAATCTGGGAGCATCCCCCTGGGTCTGGACTTACCTGAAAATTCCCTGTGGAGCCTGGCTTTGAAGAAGGTGCCAGAATCAAAGTCCATCATCGCCAGCTCCCGCTGGCCAGGTGCAGGAAGAGGTTGTCATCCTTGCTGCTGTCCTCCATGTCTCCAGCAGCAGCAGCAGCAGCCCCACCTGGTACAGCTTCTCCAGGGGCTCCTTCTTCCCTGGGGTGAC